TTGAACAGTTTTTATTGGTTTTAAATAATTTTTTATTACGACAATTTTTGGCTGTCAAAAAATGCAATGCAAATATTAAAAAATATAATAATAAAAAAAACTGAAATGTAAACATAGCTTGATAAGCGCAGCTTCGCTCGAGACTAATGAACAGCAGATATACCCACCAATTTTTAATGAGTTAAGCAGAGTGGTTTATAAAAAAGTCGGCTTCGGTATGCATTTAAATTTAGTATAACTCTTTCGGCTACATACATATACATATATGCTGCTAATTAAAAGCTAAACTACCTAATGCTGTATTATGATTTATAAAAGTAAAAAAAAAAAAATTTAGACAAAATTACAGTTTTGTAATTAGAACGCATAATTCTATAAAAATCGATGATAAAAATGAAAGATTCATTAAAAAAGATTAATTTGTGAGACAAAATTACAATTTTGATAAAAAAAATGAAAAATTCATTAAAAAATATTAATTTATACGATAAAGGGGCGAAAATTATTTTATACCCAATAAATACATAAATCGTAAATTTAAGGAAATGCTATTTTGAACTAAAAACTACATGCATACATACATACATTTCTAAAATATATAACTCAATTTTATACCTACAAACAATTATGGAAAAAACCTACATTACTACTACGTACTTAAAATCGAGCAAACATATTAAAAAAAAATATTTAAAATATTAAAAAAAATTAAACTAAAATTAAAATTAAATTTGACATGCTGCGGTAAACAATTTAACAGCATAAACTTATTAACATTTCGAGTGCAAAATGTTAGTTCGAAGGAATTTTAATATCGATAAACGAGACGATAAATGTTTATGAACAAAATATATGCTTAAATATGCATAAATATTGAATGAAAAGCAATTCGAGTACAAATCTAAAGTACAAATTAGCGCTAAAGGCATTTAAATGTGCATTAGTGCGTTAGCAAAATAAAGAAAAAACATATTATTATATACAAACAATTTAATAAATTGAGTTATAAACACTCAATGCAGTTACTTCCCAAAACTGCATATATGTACATACATACATATATGAAACATACATGAAAATCTAATTAAATTAAATTAATGTAGCTAAAAAAATGTAAAAAAAAAAAATAAAAACAAAAACACAACACGTGGTTAACATGCATTTAAAATTGAGAACAAAAACATTTTTATGAAAGTTGGCGTATAGAACAAATTAACATAAACTTATCATACAAACGAATACGAACTTCAAGTAAAAAATCTCGAAATCCTCTAAGAGAAATATACAATATTCTATCACAAAGAAAAAAACACGCATACATACTACTAAGTATTGAATCAATTAATATCTCTATATTAACTGCAAAAAACATTAACTCTATTAATACTACGAAAGACCAAACTGAAATAGTTTAATACTAAAATCGATAATGTTGTATACAAAAACAGTAAAATCGAATGAGATAAAACTGAATATCTGCATATACTTACATACATACAATAATGTGCGCAAATTAAGCGTTAAGCAGATAATAAAATATTTTATTGTATGTAATAAAAAACACATACATACATAAATATATTTTGTACGAGAAAATAATTTTACGAAACATTTTACAGAATCAATAAAGAATTTGCATGCTATAGCCGCAGAAAAAAAAACATTGCTTTCATTTATATGCTTTTTATTTGACTTGGTGTAATACTATTTCATACACGAGTACATCACTTTTCGAACATTAAAGGCATTGGTTGCATTCTATACAATTAGGTGATAATATTTTGTTAGCTCTTTTGTAATTTGTTACAAGCAATGGACGAAATCGCACGATATTATCTCCTAGCTCTATATAATGACGATATTATGCGACGGATGGTATGGTATGAATTTACAATATATTTTTCAGAATGTTGGAAAAGACCTTTATTGATAATTGTTTGTCGGGCGCAAGTATTTTTGATTGGTACTAATTATTCAAAGAGGGTCGAGAACTCACTGAAGACATCAACTGAACATAAATAAATGCATCAATAAAATAAAGGAATTCGTACTTAAGAATCGACCATTAACAGTCAGCGATGTTACTGGCATCGTTGGATTACTGGAAAGATCAGTGAAACCCATTTTGAAAGATGATTTTGGTCTAAGAAAAGGGAAAGAACGATTGTTTTCAAAATCACCCAATTTTTTTCGAAAACAGTGCTGCGTTAAAGTCTGTGAAACAATGCTTTCCGACTACCAGGATCTCATAAAACGTATTATTTCCGACAATGAGTCTTGGAAATATGCTTATGACCTGGCAATAGGCGATCAATCGGCCGAATTTCGATGAAAGATGAGCCGAAGACGTAAAAATCACATTAAAGCAGGGCAAAAATCAAGGTTATGTTGACAGTTCTTCGATTGTCGAGGTGTGGTGCACTCCGAATTCTCTCCGACCATCACCGTATTTGCCTGATTTAGCTCCGTGTGATCTCTGGCTATTCAGCAAACTTAAAGGACCGCTTCGGGAAAACTGTTTTGAGTCACCTGAAGGCATTAAATCGATACTCGCATTGAAGGCTGTTCCAGAAACTAACTTTATCAACTGTTTCGAGGTTTGGAAAAAAAGCGTTGGCACAAGTGTATTGTCACCATTTTGAAGAATAAATTAAGAATTTAAAAATTATGAACATGGTCTTACTATTTTTTCTCATAGTAGTATATACTATAAAAGCTGAATCGAGGAAGGCTCTGCTGGCCATTACGACGGAGGATTTTTGCCAGTATTATGATGACTGGAAAATTCGTTGGCATAATTGTATTGCAGCGAGAGGGGATTACTTTGAAGGAGATGAAATGGACAAAATTCACCTTTCAATTTGATCACAGTAAAATAATTTCATTGAAATGTAATCAAAATTAAATAAATAAATAACAAAAATAACATATAAAGAATCAAAAATAAGTTTTTACTCCCACCTTTCGATCTGTGTATTTCATTCCGTTACACATATGGTATTTAAATATACCATATACAGATGTGGAAATGTATGTGTATAAATACATTTTTTTAATGTAGGTATTCATTTGATATTGAATTGCGCGCGCAAAGCATTATTTACGCGTCTTCAAATGATAGCCGGAGCAAATGCACCACC